CGCTGACCCTTGAATAAACCTCATTTCCTTCCCACCAATTCAGTTGCAAAATGTTTCACCATTGTTGCTCATTGATGGATTATCCTTTATGATATCTGCACTTACAGCCCTAGCTTTCTCACAAATTATAGGCTCAGATAGGCTATGACCTGCCACCTGCCTCTCGTTTAGCCACACTAGTAAGCACCTTTCTATCTCATTTAGCACTGTTGATTGTGACTTACTAATTTGGGTAACACCTTTGTACGATCTTTTCTCTGTCAGATTGCTGAGATGCGGGACCCCACATGCTGTGCATATTCGTGAGATTGGTCACACGCACACCGCTCTCATGTCTCTGTAATTTCTTTCTCCTTTTAAATTGTGATTGCTTTTTTTACCTTCCTTTCCTTAGTTTCTGTTCTAGCTTTTGGGGGCCATTTTGATAGCAGGAATCATAGCGATTATGTAAAGCACTGACCAAAATCCCATCCACAAACATGCGCATCTGGGCTCAGACTGACACTTAGGTATGCTTACATACACTTTTCTGGCATCACGAGTCTTTGTTTACAACCACACAAGTGGCCAGCATTTGGGCTATAACTAAAGACTTTGGTCCTAGGTTAAAATTTAAATTCTGGTTGTAACCCAAGTTGTTCATATGTGAGGCCAGTCGTAACTTGAGAGTCCACTGGACTGGATTTTGAGTGGTGACCAGCCAGACCTCGCTCTGGTAACAGACTAGCCCAAGCAGGAACCAAGACGGCGGGGCTGCTAGGGAGAGGCCAGCAGTGCTGGGCCAAAGCTGAAAAATGGCCAGTAGACCATACCCAGCCTCTGCCAATGAAGGACATAGCAAGCGCCGAGGGGATGTGTCCTCTTCCACAGCCAGGGTCCCCTTACGTGGACCTACCTTGAAACAGAGGCAGCCCCAAATGAAAATGATTGAATTTTATGTTTTTGGTACCGGGGATCAAACTCGGGACCTTGCGCTTTCGAGTCAGGCGGCAGAATCACTAAGCTAAATCCCCGGCCTCAGAAATGACTGAATTTTAAACCTGAAATGCCTGAAATATCACTAGCATGCATGAAATCAAACAATATTGAAAAAACTATTCCAATAGAATTCTTCAAGCAGCACCAGATGGACACCTTCTTCCTCCTCCCAAAAAGAGATAAAACACAAGCAGACCGGCCCACTTGCTAAAGCACGGGAGGCTACTTCAGGCCTCCTGAAAAGAAGCCACTACTTCTGATGATTTTTATCTGCCCTGAGTCTCAAGACAAGAAGGTAAAAGAAGAGACCCTGACTTGACTGATCTTCTCACTAAGAACATGAGAGACAGGCTGGGGATTTAGCTCAGTGGTTCCACTGCCTGCCTCGAAATCGAAAGGTCCTGAGTTCAATCCCCGATACCAAAAAACCCCCAAAACTAAAAAACAAAACACGAGAGCCCCCTCGGGCCCATGGGCAGACTTTCCCCGCCTTATCTTCATCAGCTTACACAATGCCCGCCAGGCTGTGCCTGAAGGCGCTGATTTAGGGTACCTTTGCTCTCCGCCAGTAAAGGCCAGGGGACCTTCTCCTTTTCTGGAATACTCTGTCAGGGTAGCCTGACCCTGCGCTCCCCGGCCTACGTCATTTGTGTTTGGCTCAGAATAAACTACCTCGTTTTCCTTTAAAGCAGAGTGGTCATTTTGCATCAACACAGTGCCTGAGTTCTCCAGAGTCCGTGCAGTAGGGGGGAAGGCAGGCAAGCAAGAGAAGCTCAGCCATGGGGACGTGAAGAAAGGTGCATTTTTCCAGCTGACTACGGAGTGGGAAAGACTATCTAATGGGCCATGCTGTTAGTTTCCACAATGTCATACTGAAGAATTTCAGATGCATGCAATTTAAAATACTGGGCACTTATTTCAGAAGACTGAGGTCTTGCAGGGTAGAGTTTAACAGATCAAAGGTGACACCGATTACTGAAGTACCATTTCATAATCTCCGGGATTTACAAAGAATGTGGGATCCTGAGGAGTGACTGAAAGGCAAAACAAAGAAGACACCATTCAGAAATGCTATGCAGTTTTTAAAGCCAGCACACTGCCCCGAGAATGCTCAGGGTGTCTGCTCAGGGTGTCTGCTCAGGGCAACACCCAGCAGGGAGAGGGTTGGTTAGAGCACCCAGCAGCCCTTTCCACAGCAGCAAAGAGCACTCAGAGGCTTTCCCAGGGTCGGAAAAATCATCTCCAGTCTTCAGTGGAAATATAAGACCCGAAATCATCCTGTGGAAACATTTCTTAAACAGACGGCTCTCCCGGAACACAGCTGTGCCAGGACTCCTGGAATCAGTCACTGTGACGAGGTCTTGCAGGAGGGCTGGGTGGAATAAACAGCACACCCGCTGGTCATCCCCTGTCTGGCTTATTCTGGCAAAAAGTGGTGGTGCACAAGCAATCCTGGGCATGCGGGCCTAAAGGTGGGCAGCAGAGCCAGCTTGCCCGCGCACTCCTTCAGAGCTCTGAACCCACCCCCCCCACACACATCCCGAAAGTCCTCTCTGCTGGGAAAAGCTCCAAGCACCCGTTGTGTGGCAGTGCACAAAGCACATCTCCGGTACCTGTCAGCCACCCAGCCTGGAGGCTGCCCGAGCAGCCCTGCCGTCTTAGTCCCGCTCTGTTTCTGGACCGAGGTCTGGCTGCTCACCACTCAGAGGCTGATACTCAGCAATGTGGTCTTTCGGAGCATCAGGGCTGGACACCCAAGATGCAGGTGTAGGCAGAGCTGACTTCTCCCGAGTCCTCTCTCCTGGGCTTGCAGACGGCCACCCCCTCACCATGTCCCAACATGGCCTCTCCCCGGGTGTCTCTCTGATTAGCTCTCTGAAGGCTCCTCTCCCAGCACATCACACTGAGGTTAGGACCTCAGCATGTGAACTGGGGGGGGGGGTTCAGCCATAACAGCATTTTCTGCACCCAGGTGAAGGGCGGCCAGGCATTCTTGGGCCGCCTCGGGGGATTCTGTTGAGATGAAACCCACCACAAGTGCATCCAGTGCCCAGGCCTGTGTGCCTTAGGCCTGGAGAATAAAAACAGGGTAGCTGGAGAAGCTTGACACGGGGACAGGTGGAAAGAAAGCTTTGCCTGTCAGTCTGCTTATTTAGCCTCGGCTTCGCTCTGGAAAGGACACCGAAGGAGGAGACTCCCAAAGCAACAGGGACCCAGCGTCCATCCTGATGCTGCCCGCCCTCTCACTGGCCCTCGACTTCTCAGCCTCTGCCCTGCCCTTCACATGTGGCTCCGTGGCCAAGGTGCCCACCCAGGCCGTGGGGGGAGACATTCAGGAGTATACTATGGCCTGAGAGAGGTCTGCTGATTTCAATAGTCAGTGATTAACAGAAACCTACAGGTGCCGATTACGCACTGCAGTCTGCGGCTCCCCAGGCTGTACTGGCGCGTGAGTGACAGCCTTTGTTGGTTCTTTCTCTGGTGCTGGGAAGGAACCCAGGGCTCCATACATGCCCACAGGGCCTCTGCCTGAGTGGCAAAGGCCATGGGGCAGTTGAGGAAGGGGTTGGAAAAGGTGATTTATAACTTGGACACACCAAGGAAGAAATGAGGCTTGTATTACAATTTAGGGAATCAGGCTGTTTGCAAGCTTCAACCCCATAGAAAAAACAGTACACTGCCCCAGGATATTTGTCAGTTAGACAAGGAAGCCATTAAAGTGCTTTTTGGCAGATGTTTAGGTAGGCTAAGACCCGTAATAAAGTTTATCGAAAGACACAATGAGCAGTGAGACACAGTCACAGTCACAGTCCAGGGGGAGGGGGGCCGAAGAGAAATCCTGCCCTTCCCAACCTTGATCTTTAACAAAAACTGACCCTGAAGACCAAACACAGAATGCATTTGACTTTAAGATGAAGCATCCAGAGCAGTCCTGAGTGTCTCCAAAAGCCCAGCTCTCTGCTCCGAACACGATGAAGAACACACAATGGAGAGAGGGCCCCTCTGCTGCCCACCCATGGGAGGCCTCCGGAGGAGAAAGCCGGGCAGGGAGACCTCAGAGATTCCATCTGCTTTCCTAACTCCTCCTGCCCTTGGTAATCTTTGCCTCAAGGACACCTCGCCTCTCTCCACAAGCTGCTTCAACAGCAAATGCTCAGCAAAACCAAAATCATCACCAGGCCCTTGCAACAAGCATCCCAGCACGTCTTTTTTACACAGACTCCTGTTGTCCTCCAGACCTAGAAGTGGCTCTCCAGGACACATTTATGTGGGTCAGCAGCATTCCTAAGAGGTTAGGTAGAAGTTGGGTGTGGTGCACATCTGTGATCTCAGACTTTGGGAGGCTGAGGCGGGAAGACTGCGTCTGAGCCCAGTCTGGGTTAGTTACCAAGATCTTGTCTCAAAATAAAAAGTAAAAAGGGTCGGGGATGTGGCGCTGTACAAAGCCCCTGGGCTCAATCCCAAAAGGAGGGGAGGAGCTGGTGTAGACATGCCCAGGAGCCTGCAGGGCAGCACACCTTGGGGACCAGCTCCATGCCCTGCACCCTCCCACCTCTGCATCCTCCCACCTCTGCATCCTGGGTCTGAACAGTTTGCGACGCCAGGGCCCGGCACCGCAGTGTTCACCTCCCCAAGCAGGGGTTGCGACCCAGCACCCACAATCCTGCCTCCTCTCGCCCAGATGGGGAGCTGGCCACAGCCGGGGGCCTGGTGTCCCCCAGGGCCCCGCCAGGGGAGCCACATCCAGGACCCAGCCAGATCTCCCCACCCTGGACCCCAGGACTCCGCCAGGGAGCACCTCCTCCCCCTTGGTCCGCGCTAGCGACCCCCACAAAGCACCTGTTGCCCAGCAGGGGACCCCGGCCCCCAACCGGCCTGTCCCGGGGCTGGGCCGGGGCGGAGTCTGCAGGAACCAGTTGGGGTGGGAGGGGCCAAGGACAGGCGTCCCGATTGGTGTTCAGAAAATGCCATGGGCGGGGCGGGGCGGGGCGGGCGGGGCCTCTGCTCACCTCCCGGCGGCTTTTAAGAGCGGGAGCGCGTGAGGAGCGGCGGCGGCGGCGGCGGCGGCGACGGTAATGGAGGCGGGCGGCCCGGCTGTGGTGAGCCAGTGGGACGAGTGCTTCCAGGCGGCGGTGCAGGTGGCCCAGCGAGCGGGACAGGTGAGCAAGGCGGGGGGCGGGGGGGGGAACCCTGCGCTCCCTCGGGTCCGCGCGGGCGGCAGCGTTTCCCTAGCTGAGAGGTCGCAGAGCGCGGTTGGGACGCCGACCTCACGCGCCCCGGGGTCTTCCTGGAGGGCGGGCCCGGGAGAGCCCCCGGGGGTCGCGGTGGGGTTCTGTGGTTTTCACATTCACTTCTGAGTTCTCGCCAAGCGCACCCGAGGCTCAGGCAGCCTGCAGCCGTGTCCCCGTGCGGCTCCAGGTCCCAGGAGTGGGAAGGAGGCCTGGGCGACTTCCACTCTGCAGCAATAGCAAAGCTTTTCTTCAGAGAGGGCGCGTGGGATAAAGATCCCTCTTTAGGGACTTGGGGAAGCCTGGACGCCCCTCCTTTGGGGCATCTTGGCAGGTGGTGGTTCAGCGAGGGCCCCAAGTGTTGGTGGCTGGGACAGAAGCCACGCAAGGTGGCCGTCACCCGTGCAGAGAGGGTCGGGGGGCTGCATAACGCCCGCGTGGTGATCCCGGTGCTGCCTGGAGAGGACGCAGCCTGAGCCGGACAGCCCGGCTAGGAGGAGGGCATCGAGACCCCCAAGGGGGCGGGCCTGTGCCTGACTCAGCAGCCAGGCCCCAGGGCCCACCCTCCGGCCTGCACCAGACCCTCTGCTGGTTCACGGTGGTTCCGCCTGCGGGTGAGGGCTGGGAGTCCCTGACCATCTGCTGCCCCCCACGGCCCTCCCGAGAGGAGCCACCTGCTCTCCTCTTCCTCCCTAGGTGCCCCCGCTGGTTCCTGCAGGTCCCCTCGAGTTGTCCCTGCCTCCGGTCCCAGCCACTCCCATTTCAGGTCCCTTCTTCCAGGCTGGTGGCCACGGCCCTGCCCACCTGCGGTACAAACAACATTAACGGTATAGATACCTGTCATCCTGGGTCACAGCTTTGGTGATTCCTAGGCCCGAAAGCTTAGACAGTTTAGGGGCCTGCTCTAAGAAAGTGCAAAATTACATCTGCGAGTTAGACATAAGCTCAGTCATTTAGGGTAAGAACAGTCCCCGCTGTACATTTTAAGATGCTAACAGAAACTGCAAATATTACAAAACATAAAAATAACAATTCTTGTTTTTAAGTCTTCTTAATACACTTCTTTTTCGGCTTTGTATCTTTGAATGACAATGACTTTTACATTGCTTTGGCTTTGGTTGGTTTGGTTTTCTGGTCTCGGGGCGGGGGTCCAGGCTGTCAGGCTGGGATTGTGCTGCATCACTGAAGTACACCCTCGGCCCTTGCCCTCTTTTCCATGGGGGATAGAAAGGTATTAATTACGCAGCCTGTCCCATACCGTGGCTGATTGAAATTGACTGACAGCCGTTTAAGGAAATTGTTATTAGTCATGTGTTACAAATTTTTAGGGTTGCGTCACTGAGAAGTACTGATTTTCTATTATCCGTTAATATATTTTATATGTTGGTTGTAAGAATTCCCCCCAGACTTGCTCCCAGCTGCACGCAGCTGAAACCTCGTTTCTTGGGGAGACCTGCCCAGTCCCGACGCTGGCTGTCCCACACACGCGTGCTCACCGCACCTCCTCTGTCCTATGCACTGATGCTGCTGTGCCAGGAGCATCTGTGGAGGCCATTCCTTCACAGAATGCAGCCGTGACTCTCAGACGGATGCGACTGCAAAGCCCACAGATGGGTCCGTCAAAGACGGGGTGTCTGTGCTCAGCCTCCCTCTCGCCAAGCTGCCCCTCTGCTCCAGACCTGTGGCTGCCATGCCTGAGGAGGCAGGGGCCTGGGGAGAGGGCAGCTGGGATTTAGGCCAAAGGGCCCGCTACATACCGCCCATGTTGCTGTGAGGCTTCCCACACGGTCTGCTCTTGCAGGGCGGTGGGGCGTCGGCTTCCAGTTGCTTCCCAATAAAGCTTGCCTCTGTGGCTACAGCAGACTCTCAGTCTCCGGGGACACAACGCCCAGGACCCAGTGTCTCCCTTCTGCAGCTGCCATGTGCACCCTTGAGAATGTGGCTCCCAGCACATAGCCCTGAGGACGGGGCCTTCTGTCCCGACATCCGGTGGACCATCCCCCAGGGGGCCAGGCCCAGCTCTCTGCGCTGTGATTACAAAGCACCTGCTGTGGCTTCTCCCCAGCTCCTGACCCCTGGCCTCCAGCCGGAGGGTCCCCGCCCCTCTCCCTGCCCTGCTGAGTTGGCAGTCTTCTGGCTCTCCTCACCTGCCCCCCAGGTGGGATGTTTGAATGTGGGTACCCTCTGTCCAGCTAGAGCAGAAAGTGTGTCCTGGGGCTCTGACTGCTCTCCCACTCGTGAGGCACGCTCTGCCAAAACAGTGTGGTTGGACCTGTGATTTCTATTGTAGCCGCACAGGAGATTGAGCCAGCGAGCAGTGAAAGGAGTAATAAAAAGACCTCGGTCAAGCACAGCAACACCCTGTCCGGCTGGCTCCACCCTTGTCCTGTCCCCTGGGGGCCCTGTTGGGTTTCTGGGGGTTACACCCGCTTTCTCAGTAATCTGCTCCTGTGCTTTCTTGAGTCTTGCGGTGCTGCCACTTCCCTGCTCTGTTCTGTCGCTGCCTGTGTCCACACTGGGCCACCATGCAGTTGCAGCTCATGGTGCAGCCAGAAAGTGCACAGCGTGCTCTTTCCTTTCTTACACAACTTGTATTTCCCTTAAAGTTTAAAAAAAAAAATTCTGTGTTTTCTATTTGCTTAATTTTTGTTGTTGTTGTTGTTTTTC